CAAATATATCAACTTAATGTAATAGGCTTAAAAATCTCAACTGGCGGGAGGCAGACCAGTTGGCTATTTACAAGCATGACCGAGGAGTTGAACTAGGGTCTACCGAGAAACAACTCCAGCTTAGTGATAAGAGCGGGACTTGAACCCGCGACCTCCGGATTTCAAGCCCAGTGCCCTAACCACTCGGCCAAATTCTGCGCTGTCTGGAGAACGTGAACCACGTCGGCTAATTTTTAAAATTTATATTTCGAATTTTACGCTGAGTTCCGTATTCCTCTTCAAGGTAGTTCTGACAAAGAGAAACAAACTAATTAAATGACTTTAAAGTATCGCGGGATTCGTAGGTAAAATATAAATTAATTTTCAATCGACTTTGTCCTCAGCGCCGCCTTCGTACTTACTTAAACTCCCTTATGTTTCTAAAGGACCCATTTCCCACTAAGTTAAGGGCCCTTTGGGTGAATCTAAATCCATGCATTTTAGGGAGTTTAAGCAAACTGCGATCGCAACGGCAATGAGAACGCCACCAAACAATAGATTTCATGAGAAGAACAATGGCTGTGCACGTGTGTTATAAGTCTTTGTACATTTCTTTGTCGTCCTCTGCAATACAACAACGTGAAATGACTAAGTTCTGAGTATTTTGGAGAACGCGAACGACGGCTGCTAATTTTTCGTGCTGGTTTGAATTCGTGCGTCATGAAGCAGGGACAAAATGACCTCAATTTTCAATGTCGCATCTTGCGCACTGCTCTTGCAAACTTTACCCGCTACAACATAGAAATGAACCAATATCCTCTTCGTGTGCACCAGCTTACGTACTGTGCCTGCAACATGCGTCCTATATAGGCATACACGGGAATTAACGGGCTTGTCCCCATTTCGAGTCCCACAACATGTCCCTTAACGCTTGCGGACCTTTACAATAGGCACCTTAAGATACCAGGAAGGGACGAGCTAGGACGGCTACCGAAAGTAGATTAACTCAACGGGGCATGCGCACGAGAACTCTCGACTCATCTCT